GAGATTCGGCAAAGTTTTTTTTTTTTTTCCTTCCATGTCCCCTTAGGGGCTCCGTAGAAAAGCGAAATCATTGCACCAAAACAGAAAATCAAGCGAAGAAACCACAAAATAAATTATATGGGGGCGTTTGTGAACATACGGAGCCCCTAAGGGGACATGGAAGGAAAAAAAAAAAAAATTTGCGAGATCTCGCAAAGTAATGCGAGATCTCGCAAAGTAATGCGAGATCTCGCAAAGAATGCGAGATCTCGCAAAGAAAGAATGCGAGATCTCGCAAAGAATGCGAGATCTCGCAAAGTAATGCGAGATCTCGCAAAGTATTCCAAAGTATTGCGAGATCTCGCAAAGAATGCGAGATCTCGCAAAGTATTCCAAAGTATTGCGAGATCTCGCAATCTTTTATTTATTTATTTATTTTTAATGAATGGAGGGGCCATTCAGAGTCCTCTGCCAGTCATCAGTTGAACATCCGAGCCTTGGTGGGAACCGCATCGCTTTCTAAATGAAAGCTCACCCTGCTCTTGGCGAATCCTCTCTCTCTCTGCGTAGCCCACGGCAGCCATGTTGAGTCGACTCAGCCACCTGAGGGTCAGAAAAAAAAAAGGGTTCAGGTTGAGCAGGGACGTGCACAAACATCAACAGAGGATGACAAACAGAGACGTGTGATGTTTGAAAACAATGGTTTGGTTTTTCTCAATGGCTCTGCCTTGCCCACATGATTTGACGGGGTACACAATCGACGAAGACGCAACTGGCGTCGTCGGGATTTGACCTGTTCATGTCGTCCACGCCATCTGACGCAAAGAAGAAGCTCTTGACCTTGGGGTGGCAAGCTTTGAACGCACTGGGGAGCATACAGACGCGCAGTGAGACACCCAACGCGAGCACATTCCTGTCTTTTCATCGCTCACTTACTACTTCTTTCGGCATTCACTGGCGCGATCGATTTTGAACTCGGGGAGACTGACGAAGCCCTCGGCTTTCTCATCCTGACACACGAGAGATGACTCCGAATGAGAAGGAGAAGACAGCGAAGCTCAAATGGAGCCCACGCGCACGGATACCTCTTCGTTGATGTACCAGTACAGGCAGTTGTCCTTCAGAACGAACCAGTACTTCTTCCATTTATGAGAAAAGTAACCTTTGGCATCCCTCTTGCGCCACAGCCAGCCTTCGCAGTCGCCTCGGCCAAGCGCCTTGCAGGAAACGCGGCGGCGGCTCAGGTTGGCTAAACTTCGACCTGGAACAACATGGTGGGGAGAAATGTAGAGATGATCAGTGATGGGAAGTTTTAAAAAAAAAAAAAAAAAAAAAATCGACTGAAGAACCGTAACTGCCTGGCGGTATTGGCACCAGGAAACGCTGGAAGCCTTTAACGTGACCATTTTCAGTCCCAAGATCAGCTCGAACGATTCGAGGACAACCCCCCAAACGGTGCACAACTTCGATGTAGTAACCTCCAATCAACTTCGGGTCACTACTTGTTGTGTAGGCATTGAGCCACATTATTTTCCTTGAAAAACCATCAATTGCCCCATTGATACAAATTCCAAATGGTTTCAGTTTGTCATAGGAGTCCATGTGCCATATAAAATTTGGCCCTTTGGAGAAGTAGTTTCGTCGTCTCAGACGTCTTGCTTGCCTTAACGACACTCCTCTCGGATCCAACTCTTTCAGGACCAGACGAACGTCCTCTTTCCTGACAAGTAGTCCATATTCTCTGCACTTACTGTACATCCACCTGTAACCGTGTAGTTGTCCGGAATGCTGCAATTGGTTGCGAATGAAGTCAACCAGGACTCCCAAGTCATTGAACGTTTTCCGACGAAATAGTCCTCTTTGGTTCAGCACTCGCTTCAAATGTCTTTCGCTTATTTGGAAACCGTATTTAACATCAAGAACAGATTTAATGTCTTTGTATTTTAAGCCAATTTCAAAGTAAAATTCTATTAAACTCACGAACGGTTGAACACGCTCCATGATTGTTGTTTTGATGAGACGTACGATGACCCGGAAGCACATCAACGAGCATTAAAAATAAATAAATAAATAAATAAAAGATTGCGAGATCTCGCAATACTTTGGAATACTTTGCGAGATCTCGCATTCTTTGCGAGATCTCGCAATACTTTGGAATACTTTGCGAGATCTCGCATTACTTTGCGAGATCTCGCATTCTTTGCGAGATCTCGCATTCTTTCTTTGCGAGATCTCGCATTCTTTGCGAGATCTCGCATTACTTTGCGAGATCTCGCAAAGTTTTTTTTTTTTTTCCTTCCATGTCCCCTTAGGGCAGTGGTCCCCAAACTACGGCCCGCGGGCCGGATCCGGCAAAGTTTTTTTTTTTTCCTTCCATGTCCCCTTAGGGGCTCCGTATGAACACACAACAAAGGAATGAATAACAAAGAATTCTGAAACAGTCCAGTCTCCTACATACAGCATGTGTTTCCTTCATTCTAAGTTTTATAGAAGGTTTTTATTTTTTTTGGGGCTCCAGACATGTTTTTTTTTGTCCTATATGGCGCCTTCAACATTTTGGGTTGCCGACCCCTGTCCTAACTCATCTCTGTCTCTTTGCTACACATTTGTTGTTCTCTGTAGAACTCATTACAGTGCCTCTGGAGTGGGTTGAGTTGATGGCCTGTGTTCGAAGCGTTTGCCTGCAGAAGATAGCGGCTGCCATTAGTTTGGACTTACCACCGCCTCCATGTCTGCATTGCTGACAGTCCGCTGAGCTGCCAGCTGCAATTCTCTGCAGGATGAGATCCTTCAGCCCGAGCGGTTGCCTATAATTACCTCCCAACATGACACATATCACTACTTAAACAATCCATGCGCCCATTTTCTATACTGCTCACCCACATTAAGGCCACAGGTGAGCTGGAGCCAATCCTATCTGATTTTGGATAATTGGCGGGTTACTGGACTGATCAGTGGTCACAAGCTAATTACACGGCGCATACTGTAGTGCATACAGTGCCTTGAAAAAGTATGCAGACCCCATTGAACTTTTTCACATTTGTGACCTTCACAAACATGAATGCATTTTGTTGAGATTTGGGATGAAAATGATGGATGATTTTCACATTTGCAAGTGGATATTAATCTGAAAAGCGTGGTGTGCATTTGTATGCGGCCTCCTGTACTCTGATACCCCAAATTACAACCCAGCGCAATCGATTGCAGTCAGAAGTCACTTAATTAGCAAATAGAACTCACTCACTTTTAAAACACTTGTTCTGTGAAGGCCTCAGTTTGTTAGAGAACACTAGTGAACTACAGCATCGTAAAGACCGACAAACTCACCAAACAGGTCAGCAATTACGTATTAGAGAAGTTTCAAGCATGGTTAGATCATCCAGTAAAAAAAGAAAAAAAAAAGACAGCATCATAAAGACCAACAAACTCACCAAACAGGTCAGCAATTACGTAGTAGAGAAGTTTCAAGCATGGTTAGATCATACACTTAAAAAGAGAGAGAGAGAGAGAGATCACTAAATTTGAAAATCTCAAGATTCACCATTTAATCTATCATCCAAAAATGGGAAAAGTATGTCACAAATACAAATTAGGGCCTGTCCGATTAATCTGCCCGTCTATTTAATGGCCAGTATTGGCTCTTTTAATATTGGCCAAAATCGACCAATTATCTTTTCCAAAATCATTATTCTAACTACATTTTTTTTCACACATTAACACATGACAATACTGTAGTGTATACAACAAAGATATTGACATTCAAAGACCACACTCCACCCAAAAACAAAAGGCAAAAAAACATTTCTCCCTGTGTCAGATCGCAGCCTTCTGTGCCAGTTTTATTGTCAGCCCCGCCCTAATTGTTTGCACCTGTTGCCAATTACCTTGTGTTGTAATAGTCCTTGTTTCCCTTTTTCTTATTCTTCGTGTTTCGTCCTTGTATGTGCACTTCAGCCTCTTGCCACAGATCTCATCTGACCATCCCTCAAGTAAATCTTCCCTCTCTGAACGCAGCAACTTCATCCTTTGTCAAAGCCTGGTACGGACAACGCACACTGGCCACAGTGGCCAGTATGGACACAGTGGTGACTGGTGACAGAACAACGAGCTGCAGATCTGTGTGCAAAGGGGACTCTCTTGTCCCAGAAGGTGGCTGCATTACACCAAGGAGTCGAGGGTCTTGCCCACAGCCAGGAGGGCTTCAACACAGCCGTTACAGCCCAGGGGCTGTGGCGGACCCTGTTCAAGAACGGTTGTTGTCATTACACCTACCTGCAGACCAGGACTCTCTCATTGAACCAAGACAAGAGGACGGAATTCCAACTGGGACCCCCCCCCCCTTCCCCCCGTAACCCTGCTCACCACCTCTTCCTGCTACTCTCTTCAGGTAAGTGCTATCGAACCATGCGCACCAAAACCAGCAGACATTCAAACAGCTTCTTCCCACTCTCCTTGAAGTCCCTAAACAGTTCATCATTTCATTTGAAGACAGGTAATTTCATTTCAATTCATGCGAGCCATTTCAATTAAAACCAAGCAAAAAAAAAGGGCATTTAATTTCAAGCCAGGCCAAGCAATATCATTTCAAGCCAGTCCCCCAAAAAACATGAATTAATTTCAAGCCAGGCCACAAAAAAGCAATTTTAAGTAATTTCAGGACAAGTCATTTCATTTCAAGTCGGGCCAAAAAACAACCATTTCATTTCAAGCCAGGTCATTTCATTTCGAGTCAAAAAGTCATGTCAAGCAAAAAAAAAAGCCAAGGAAGAAGCCATGCCAAGAATAAGCCAGGTCCAGCCGAAAAAAAGCCATGTCGAGCCAAGCAAAAAAAAGTCAAGCCAAGCCCCCCCACCCAAAAAGCCAAGTCATGCCATGGCCCGACCCCCAAAATTCCAAGCCAAAAAAAGCTTTGCCAAGCCAAAAAAAAGCCATGTGAAGTCATTTCAAGCAGTCATTTATAGCCAAGCAAAGTAATTCAAACCAAGCAGAAAACGAGCCACAAGATGCCATGCCAAGCCCAAAAGGCCATGCTATGTCAAGCAAAGCCCAAAAAAAGCCATGCCAAGCAAAAAAGCGATGCCAAGTCAAGCTGCACCCTCAAAAAGTCAAGCTGCGCCATGTCAAGTCATTTCAAGCCAAGTCACGCCATGTTAAAGCAAGCCCCCCGCAAAAAAAATACAAAAATGTCAAGCTGCCCCCCCAAAAAATGCTATGCCAAGTCATTTAATGAAAGCCACGTCAGGCGAAAAAAAATCCATGTCATGCCATGCCAGCCCCCCTTCCCCCCCAAAGTCAGGCTTACCCCCCGAAAAATGTCAAGTCATTTCAAGCAGTGATTTCAAGCCAAGTCATTTCAAGCCATGCCAAGTCAAGCCCCCCCCCCCAAAATTTCAAGCCACGCCACGCCAAGCCAAAAAAAGTCATTTCAAGCAGCAATGTCAAGTCATTTAACTTCTCAAGTGTCACTTCTGGGGTGAGAGGACGCAGGCATGTATGTCGCCGCTTCTCACTCCGAGCTCTACTAAATTCAGATCTTCCTTTTGGTTTTCTTTTTGCCCTTCTGTTTGGACTCTGGGTACTGTGATTGATGTAACTTGGATCATTACTTCATCTGATCAATCAAACCCCATCTCAACTCAGTCCACGGGATAACGCCGGTAGCTTATGCTAACCAGCTGTCACCACATTGGCTTTCCTTCCTCGACATGGGGCGCAAAAACCTCCTTGCCGCCTTTGGACTACTTTGGATACTCCTGACGCTGTGCCATCATCCAATGGCAGGACTGCTCCACTATTTTGTCGCAGATCTTCTTCGGATCCGGTGGATTGCACCGGAGCCTCCGCCATCGGAGCTGCACCATCATCCGGACATCGCTCGCCTGCCTCGACGTCGCTACATCCACCGCGGGTCGCGCAGACATGTCGAGCACAAAAACTCCGGCTCAATCAACTCGACCTGGTCCACTTCTCGACGCCCTCCCAGAAACTCTGGCCGCAACATCAACCATCATGCATTAGCCCGCCTGGCTAGGTCGGCTAACAGCACTGCTGCCGTCAAACACGACTTCTCCGCCGTCAACTTTGGTCTGCTTAACATCTGCTCACTCACGAGCAAAGGCCACCTCATCCAAGATGTCCTCGCCGACCGCAAACTCGACTTCCTCGTTTTAACAGAAACCTGGCAACAGACGAACGAGTTCTCTGCTCTGAATGAATCAACTCCTTCCGGCTTGGTTTACATCAGCCACCCCCGTGGCAACGGCCGTGGAGGACTCACGGTAATCCACCGCGAGAAGTTGAAAGTCCTGCCCGTCTCCGTTCCTGCATCAAGCTCTTTTGAATGCCTGGTTTTTAAGCTCCCTGGACTCTCGCCAACCATCATCGCTACAGTTTATCGCCCCCCCGA